TTTGCTCTTGACTATGATGCTATTCTCACTGCCATGTATGCGTTGCCTACTAGTGCTGACGGTGCCTGTTACCTGTGCGTACCGCCTGACCCAGGTATAGAGCCTGCTGCTCTAGGTGCTGGTGAGGCTGCTGCTCTCGGTGCTAGTGCGTCTCCTGCTCTAGGTACTGGTGAGGCTGCTGCTCTAGGTGCTAGTGCGTCTCCTGCTCTAGGTGCTGGTGAGTCTGCTCTCTCTGGTACTGCGCCTGCTGAGGCCTTGTACACCTTCACGCTTGACTCAGGTGCTTCCCGCTCCTTCTTTCGCGACTGCACCACACTCACGCCGCTTAGTCGGCCCGTTGCAGTCTCCCTGGCGGACCCCTCTGGGGGTCCAGTCCTTGCCCACTACTCCACGGTTCTGCCGTGTCTGGCCGCCCCGTCTGGCTCGCTGTCAGGTCTCTACCTCCCCTCGTTCTCTACGAACTTGGTGAGTGGAGCTGACCTCCAGGATGGCGGGGTTGACCAGTTCACTCCTGCGAGTCAGCGAGTGACCCACTGTACGTGTGCTCGGACGGGCCGACACCTGGCCACGTTTACTTGTGCGCCTGGCTCGAGTCTGTACACCCTGACCACTGAGTCCCCTCAGGTAGCTGCATCTGCGTCTGCGTCAGGTCAGCTAGCGGCCCCCTGCTCGTGTCGCGCTTTGTCGCACCAGACCCTCCTTTGGCACCACCGCCTTGGTCACCCCTCGGTGCAGCGCCTTCGTAGCATGCACCGCCGTGTCCTTGTCTCTGGTCTTCCCAGGGTTCTCCCTCCCCTCCCACCCTCGCCTGCTCCTCCCTATCTTCCCTGTGTCGAAGGGCGGCAGCGCGCCGCTCCTCACTCCTCCTCGTTCCCTCCCACAGAGGCTCCCCTGCAGACTCTCCACCTGGACGTGTGGGGCCCAGCCCGCGTCCGTGGACAGGGCCACGAGCGGTACTTCCTGCTGGTCGTCGACGACTACACGGTCTTCCCCTTGCAGCGCAAAGGGGAGGTCCCTGATGTTTTGATCCCTTGGATCCGCGCGGTCTCCAGCTCAGCGAGCGGTTCGGGACGGAGTTTCCCGTCCTGCGTCTGCACTTTGACAGAGGTGGTGAGTTCTCCTCAGACCTCTTGGCAGCCTTCTGTGCGGAGCACGGCATCCGCCAGACGTTCACGCTTCCGGCCTCTCCGCAGCAGAATGGGGTTGTTGAGCGCCGCATTGGCTTAGTCATGGAGGTCGCTCGTACCTCCATGATCCATGCGGCTGCCCCCCATTTTCTGTGGCCGTTTGCGGTCAGGTACGCCGCGCATCAGCTCAACCTCTGGCCCCGTGTCTCCTTGCCGAAGACCTCGCCCACACTGCTGTGGACGGGGGAGGTTGGCGATGCGTCGCGTTTCCGGGTCTGGGGTGCTCGTGCCTTTGTCCGCGATACCACTGCGGACAAGCTCTCCGCCCGCGCTGTTCCCTGTGTCTTCCTTGGCTTTGTCCCTGACGCGCCTGGTTGGCAGTTTTACCACCCCACCTCGCGCCGTGTCTTCCCCTCTCAGGACGTCACGTTCGACGAGTCGGTTCCCTTTTACCGTCTCTTCCCCTACCGCACTGCCCCTCTCCCCCCCCCCGCCACTCTTCCTCGCTCCAGGTGCTCCCCAGGTAGACCCCCTCCTCGCTCCCGGTCCTGCTCCTTCAGGTGTGTCTCAAGTAGACCCTCCTCCCTTGCCTGCGCCGGTTGAGGTTACTGGTGACTCAGGTCCTGCTGAGGGTGGTCCTGCTCGGGGTGCTGCCTCAAGGGGTGCTGAGCCTGGGGGTGCGGAGCCTGGGGGTGCTGAGCCTGGGGGTGCGGAGCCTGGGGGTGCTGCGCCTGGGGGCGCTGGGGCGTCTGGTGAGCAGTCTCCCTCGAGCGACCGTCTCCGTAGTCGCTCCGCTGGTGCCTCGCCGCTGCACTCTCGTAGCCGTCTCCCTCTCTCCCCACAGCAGCTGCTTGAGTGGTACGTTAGCCGTCAGGGTCGAGCTGCTGGAGCTGGGGGCCCTGCTGCGAGGTGCGCTGGTGTTGGCGGCACTGGAGCCGACGCTGTCCCTGGGGGTGCAGAGACTGGGGGTGCTGAGCCTGAGCGTGAGGAGCCTAGGAGTGCTGAGTCTGGGGGTGCTGAGCCTGAGCGTGAGGAGCCTGGAGGTTCTAGGTCTGGGGGTGCTGAGCCTGTGCGTGAGGAGACTGGAGGTACTACGTCTGGGGGTGCTGAGCCTGTGCGTGCTGAGTCTGGGGGTCCTGAGTCTAGGGGTGCGGCGTCTGGGGGTGCTGAGTCTGAGGGTACTGCGACTACTGGTGCGCGGTCTCCTTGGAGTGGCCGCCTTCGTCCGCGTGTGCCTCTCACCTCACAGCAGCTGCACGACTGGTACGGTCGCCGTCAGGGTCGTGCTGCTGGAGCTCAGGGCTCTGCCACTGGAGGTGCTTCTGCTGACATCGCTGGAGCTAGGAGTGGTGCTGGTTCTTTGTCTACTGGCAGTCTTGGAGCTGATGGGACTGGAGGTGCTGTGTCTGGGGGTGCTGCTGCTGGAGACGCTGAGGCTGGAGACCCTGGGACTGGAGGTGCCGGTTCTGGGGGTGCTGCTGCTGGAGACCCTGCGGTTGGAGACCCTGGGACTGGAGGCTCCGGTTCTGGGGGTGCTGCTGCTGGTGGAGCTGGTCCTGGAGGAGCTGGCGCTGGAGGTTCTGGAGCTACTGGGGGCGCTGGAGCTGCTGGTGCTGGTGCCGCGGCGCAGCCGAGACTGTTCTTCGCTCCGCCGTCTTCGTCGTCCCCGCCACCGCCTGACTCTGTGCTTCGCCAGGTTCTTAGCCTACCGTCGTCTACTGGTCTTCCGTTACAGCCTGACTCCCCACTGCCTGCTCCTTCTCCTTACACTGAGCAGACTGGGGGTCTTGCTGAGCGTCGTGAGCCTGCGTCGCGTCCTGTCTCGCCTGTCCGTTCTGGTCGTTCCGGTCGTCGTGTTCCTCGTCCGCGTCAGCCGGCTGTCCCCGGCACACACCTCGTAGTCCGTCGTCCTTCCTCTACTACGCAGTCCGTTCCTCTGCCATCTCCCCCTGCGTCCTCTCTGCCTGACGTTCCGGACCCTGAGTCTGACCGGTTTCGTGCTGAGCACCCTACTGTCACGCGTCTGTTAGCCACTGTTGTTACTGACCCGTCGTTTGAGTCTGCTGCTGCGTCTGCCTTGGTCGCTGAGCTTGTTGACTTTGCTGCTGCCTGTCGTCTAGACTACGCTGCTAGTCTTGTTGCTGAGTCTGGGTCTGTCTGTCCTCCGTCCGTCGGGGGTGAGTGTGCTCTTGGCACGGACGTCCTTGAGGACAGACAGGAGGACCTTGAGTGTCTTGCGGCCGCTGCGCCTCATCTCGTGGCCATGCTGCTTGCCCCTGAGGGAGACCCGGATGCTCTAGACATCCCGACCCCGCGCTCTTACGCAGAGGCGATCGCGGGTCCCTACTCCTCTCAATGGCAGACAGCCATGGACGCAGAGATGGCATCCTGGAAGTCCACAAGCACTTACGTTGACGAGGTTCCCCCTCCTGGGGCGAACATCGTCGATGGCATGTGGATTTTTAGGGTGAAGCGGCCGCCGGGTTCTCCGCCGTTGCTCGAGGCTTCAGCCAGCGACAGGGAATTGACTTCTTCCAGACCCTCTCCCCCACCCAAAGATGGCCACTCTTTGGGTACTTCTGCACGTTGCCGCTCAGTGTGACTACGAGCTTCACTCTCTTGACTTCAGCGACACACGTGCACAGACCTGGGTGAGCTGCGCAGTTACCTTGGCTTGCAGATCACCCGGGACCGAGCACGCCGCACCATCACACTGACTCAGTCACACATGGTGCAGCAGGTCCTTCAGCGCTTCGGCTTCACCTGGTCCTCGCCACAGTCCACTCCTCTGGCTACAGGTCACTCGCTCTCAGCTCCACCTTCGGACGAGTCCGTAGAGCCGAGTGGTCCTTACCCAGAGTTAGTGGGCTGCCTCATGTACCTGATGACCTGCACCTGTCCTTACTTTGCGTACCCTCTTAGCCTTCTGGCACGCTACGTGGCTCCTGGTCGACACCGAAAGGTGCACTGGGATGTCTCAAAGAGGGTGTTGCGTTACTTGTGCAGTACATCGGGCATGGGGCTCGTGCTTGGAGGGCGGAGAGACGTGGTCCTCACTGGGCACTCAGACGCTTCTTGGGTTGACGACCAGGCTACGCAGCGGTCGTCACAGGGTTACACTTTCAGCCTTGGCTCCGGTTCTGTTTCTTGGCGTTCTACTCGTTCGTCTTCTGTTCTCAGCTCCAGTTGTGAGGCTGAGATCTACGCCACTGCCATGGCTGCTCAGGAGTTACGCTGGCTCACTTACCTGCTGACCGACTTGGGAGAGCGGCCTCGTTCTCCTCCAGTGCTGTACGTCGACAACAAGGCCGCCATTGCCTTGTGTGAGGAGCACAGACTGGAGCACTGAACGAAGCACATCGCTCTCCGTTACTTCCTGGCTCGAGAGTTGCAGCAGCGTGGTCAGCTTCGTCTTGCACACGTGGCCACTCAGGCCAACACTGCTGATATATTCACCAAGGCACTTCCGTCTGGTGACCATCAGCGCTTTTGTACTTTGTTAGGCCTTGTGCCTACGTTTCCACACTTGCTGTAGCCTCTGCTTGTACTGTGATCCATATATATATACCTGCATGCTTGCTTTTGCTAGGTAGTGATCACTGTACTGTTCTTGTTGCATATATACCTCTGCATGTGAACTGGCCTTGTGGCTCTTTGCTTGTGCTCAGTATGTGTGGTGACGTTGTGATCCACCCTGAGCTTGTTTTGCTTTTCTTGACTGGTCTTGTGACCCCTTGCTCTCCCCCACTTTGCCTATGGGGGTGTGTCAAATTATATATGGTATACTTGTGTGGGCTGTAGTGGGGTAGCCAATATGGGGTACAACCCCTCTAGGGTTTGTTACTTGTACCCAACCTTCTTTCAATGCACTCATTATTGCCTAGACTTTCTAACATCTCTCTCTCTCTCTCTCTCTCTCTCTCTCTCTCTCTCTCTCTCTCTCTCTCTCTCTCTCTGTCTCTCTTTCTCTCTCTCTCTCTCTCTCTCTTTCTCTCTCTCTCTCTCTCTCTCTCTCACACACACATAGACACCTTTGTTACGCCTAAAACCCATCCTTCAATCGTTTCTCTATCATACACTCTAGTTGTTTACTCGATAACTATTTCGTTTGCATATCCGTACCATACTTTCAACACATTCCTGTTTTACATTTTCCGTCTATGTTTGGGCCACTACCTATCATTTTTGCATTCTTTATCGCACATATTATTTGCAACTCAAACCGTGCCTATATTTGTACATTCATTTTACCTAACATTCGTTGCATATCTTTTCTTCACACATACTTGCAAGCTCGTATCACGCGTTTGTGAATGTACGAACACATTGTCCATCATTGATTTGCAATCACGGACGTTTATTGTCATTTTCACACACCCATCAACATTTACTACAGGTGTCGTCCTTTATTGTCAAGCTGGAAATTCGCAAGGTGGAGTCGAGTTTCATGATCCGAGCTGTCTGTAAGGTTAGCGATGCGAGCGGAACGTACGGGCTGACAGCACAGGGCACCTCGGTGGACCGCATCATGAAGTTGGTGGAAGAGGAGCAGAAGTAGACCAAGACTTTCCAGACAGAGACGCATGTCTTCCTCTGGATCACAAAGGTCTTCAAGGATGACACGCAGATCATGACGACCAAAAGATGCGATACATTTCTGTTTATTAGTGTATAAAGCATTTGTACAAAGCATCTGTCTATTAGCATTTGTACTTTGTACGTCTTTGAAATCCGTTATCACATGATATTTGCATTCTTATTTAATATGCATGTTCATAAAAGTTATCCTATCACATATCCAATACATCTATGTTAGGTCGAGGATCATCAAGATTACAGACAGCACTGTCACTACCCGCATCACCCCAACTGTCGACCTTCTGACAGTGCTGCCCTTGCTTACAACCCCTTTCGACCTCGATATTATCACATCATAAGTTAATATGTTGAATTTTGTTAGCTTGTTGAGTATCGCATAGTGGTGTTATCCATCAATTTTTTTTATCATTTCTTGATCTTTTGCTTTCCTTGAATTCACATTCATTTTGACAATTCCAATGTCTCTCATACATTACCCGTCATTCACATGCTTTCTAATTACCATACCCTCTTTTTGTTTCGCTGTCATACACTCCTATGGAACACTCTTCAATGCGTATACTTTCTTTTAGTTATCATTCGTCATCCTTTTCACATGTATATCAAATATTTCAAACTCTTTTTTCATATGCAATGTTAACTTGTACATATTTCACTATTACGCTCGACATGGCATTTCCCCATATCTTCATGTGTTACACAAAAAACATGTACTCTTATAGTATTTGATTATTCGTTATTCTCATCTCTAAAGCTAATTTGCACTATTATTATCATAACAAACTCTATGCAGTTTGGGAGCAGCAGAGGACAATGTTATTGCATTGGGACAAGAGGTCGCATGTACACTCAGCGTGGAGATCCGTGATGCTCGCATTACTACAGAGCGGACTTGCTCATTCAGCCCACCAGAGGATAGTACGAGCGTGTGCGATTTGTCTGTGGGTTGGTGCTGCTCCAGTGATGCGTAACTTTGCGACAACGGACACGCCTTGCCCAAAGCAACTGAGCGAAACAACATTGCTGTTGTGTTTGACACAAGAACAAGTATAATAACTCAATGCGTATTCTGATGCACAATTTGTGTGACTAAAAATATGCGGACAACATATTGTGGTTGTGCTATTGCGTTCTTCCTCTATGCTCCCTGTCTTTTCTTCCAAATCATTATCTTCCGGCCTATCACATAACACTCGGAGCTTATCATATCATAGGCCTGCTACTCTGTTGCCTATGTTATCACAAAGTCGCACTTGCATTTGGCCTCGTATTATTACCTTTGTACTCTTTTTATTCTTGCATGGTTTTTTCTTACTATTGCGTTCTCTATATTCAACTTTACTTTTCTGTTTTCTTTTCATTGGATCACACTCCATTTCAAATGTTCTCCTCTCTTTATATCTTCTCTTACGAATAGCTGTTTGTTCGCACATTTTTTGGCACACAAATCGTGCATCAAACTTTCCACGCATGCCACGCATAAATTTGAAACTTCTTCACAATTTCGTACACCTACTTATTCTTCATTCTCTAGCTATATCAATTGGCATATATCTACCACAGGTGGAAGGTATGCTCGCATTGGCATTCATGCCATAGCGAGCTTAAGTGCGCTTAAGAGTGGCTTGGAGTAGTTCAGCATTGTAACATGGACCGCCGCTGGAGCCGATGTGAAGAACGAGATCTTGGCAGGCTTGCTCAACAAGCGACGTCATATCAAGGTAAAATGAGTGTAAAGCTGGATATTGCACAATCGTACGTATTTTGTTTGTTATTTTCAGAATGCTTGTATTGTTTTCTTTTGATGCGAATTGTTGGTTTGCTATTTTTGCTTTTCCTAATAGATCACGAGCATTCTCTACGACTGCAGATGGTCAGAAAGGCAGCTAGAAACAAGTTTGATAGGACGATCACATCGTCCTCGATGGTGTCTTCGAATGTAAGTACACTGTTTAGAACGTGACAATTAGAGCTTCTAGCTCACATGTTCGTAGTTCGATGATGCTTTTTTTTATTTTTTTTTTCAATTTACATTATGGTTTTTTAAGTTTTTGGTGTACTATTAGCAGTGTACCCTAGTTGTTATACTCATCATACAATTTTTCCCCTTGTTCCAATAGGAGGAGCATGATGAAGGACTAAACGAAAACAACAAGCGCACAGCAACCACCGCCAAATGTTCCAGCAACCCCAGTGAAAGTCAATCAGCGTCGTGGTGATTTTGTAAGATACTGTCTTCAATTTTGAATTCCCTCAATTTTCATTGTGATCATTTTATTTTTTTCTTTTGCCAAGTTGTGCTAAGCTTTTTTTTTCCTTATACATAATATGTTGTTTGACTATTTCACTACGCTAATTAAATTGATGAATCAAATGCATTTGTCACATTTTTTTCCAACAAACATTCATGCAACTTTTGGTTTTCTTTTGCAGCGCATGTAAGATCGATTATCATTTGCCTTGGAAGCGAAACAAGAAAGGAAATAAACGAGGCGGTGGAGCGGAGGAAGGAGTAGGAGGAGGAGGATGTCAGAAGTAGTAGGCAAAGTTTAGAAACAGAAAGAGAGGTTTGAACTAGCAGGCAGTTGAGTACAAATAGCAAACCCTAGATTGGGCTGTACTCGCTATAGAGTACCCCACTGCAGGCTAGACAATATAACATTCTGACACACCCCCATAGCCAAAGTGGGGTGTAATCAGCACAACAATAGCAATAGTTCATAAATTATGAGCAAAGGTAGAGGCAGTCACTGAGGGCAAGTGAGGAGGAGGAGGGCTGGCGAGAGGAGAGTAGATGGGAGGCGACGACTGAAGCTGCAGACACACGGGCAACAGACGGCTCTGGTGCAACGCTAGTGGCTACCGGGAGCAAGGGCCCCGGAATACAGGAGTAACAGGCTCTGCGTCTGATCAGCAGCGACAGGAGCAACGGACCCACGGGCGACAGGTGCAACCGGCTCTCTGAGCTACCGGTGGCTATCAGAACCCCGGAATACAGGCGCTGCAGACGACACGACGGCGGCCTCCGCTCAACCTCCCCCAACAGTCCCACACCCCTCGACACACACCCCCTGCTGCGCCCCTAGCTCCACTCCCCCTTCACCCCCCTAGCACCACTCCTTCGGCTCCCCACACAACCACCCCCCTGAGCGGCAGCTGCAGCAGCGGGAGACGAAGGAGGAGGAGGAGGAGGGGACGGGGCACACAACCGGCACCCCCACAACCGCCACCCCCACACTCCCCACCCCCAAACCCTAAAACGGGCGGAACGGGGGAAGGAGCGCGGGGGACGGCGAGGGGGACGGCGCGCGGCCCCCAGGGCGCCACCACGGGGCAGCGAGGGGCCGCGCGCGGCTCCCCAGGGCGCCGCGAAGGGGCAGCGGGGGGTCGCGCGCGGCTCCCCAGGGCGGCGCGACGGGGAATCGGGAGCCGCGCGCGGCTCCAGCTGGTCGACGCGACTGTCGACGGGGCAGCGGGGGGTCGCGCGCGGCTCCCCAGGGCGGCGCGACGGGGTGGCGGGGCGACGCGACCACCGACGGGGCAGCGGGGGCAGCGCGCGGGTCCCCTAGGGCGACGCGACGGACAGGGCGGGGGCGCGCGCGGGTCCCCCACGATAGGAAACCGCCGTGCGCCTCGGGGCGCACGGCGGGCAGAAAACCGCCGCGCGCCCCGAGCGCACGGCGGGATGAAAACCCTAAAAATTTTCGCCGCGAGCGCACGGCAGGAAGAAGACGACGCACGCCCGAGGCGCGCGAGAAGCATAACAGCAGCGGAAGCAGTTAGGTGGTGGGCCCACCCACAGGATCGACCCAAGGGGGTCGACCTGCTCTGATAGCATGTCAGAAGTAGTAGGCAAAGTTTAGAAACAGAAAGAGAGGTTTGAACTAGCAGGCAGTTGAGTACAAATAGCAAACCCTAGATTGGGCTGTACTCGCTATAGAGTACCCCACTGCAGGCTAGACAATATAACATTCTGACAGAGGAAAGATGTTTAAGAAATTCTTGAAGAACCGAGGAAATGAAACGAGTGTTGGAGGAAGAAAGAGAGTAAGAGTGTGGCAAGATGGAGAAGAGAGGAGATGGATAGAGGAAAGGTGTGAAGAAGACTCGTTTGCATCGATTGAAACTTGTGATTGAACTTGGACGTTGCTTTTGATTAGGTCTGTGTGCTACTTGGTACAGGGTGTCGTAAATATGTCGTCACATAGAAACGTGTGTGCGGTCAGGTCATTACCCATATTATGCTTGCGTGTTGTTTGTGTTGGTTATGTTTGTGTTTAGTTGTGGTGTTGTGTGCGTGGTCTATTCCTCGTACTTTTTTTTTCCCCCTTTTCTTATTCCTCTTTCTTCTTTAATTGTTCTACGATCACATGTGCAACTGTCTATTTTGTGACGTGGTGTTTGAATGTCTCGTGCATGCAACACAGGTTGTGATCGTCGGTGGGGCAACTTTCGTAGCCTCTTCCGTACCATATCAATCTTTGTCGCAGCATCGAAGCACTCTAACTTTCGTCTCAAAAGGTTCACTATGATTTCGTGTTCGAGTTTTACACGTTTGTGTGCTTGTTTTTTTGTGTTGTGTTAAGTGTCTCGTTTATGTAACGGGGGTTGTGATCGTCAGTGGGGCAGCTTTGCTAGCCTCTTCCGTACCATATGAATCTCCATTGCACATCGAGACACTATAGTATTCGTCTCCATTCATCCATCGTATTTTTTTTCGTTTTGATTTGTTTTG